AATCAGGATCTCGGACTAGGGATCCGAGTCTGGTCCCTAAAACTTTACAGATAATGCGTATTAATACATTTTGGTTGAGAAGGAAACAGCATCGAAGTCTGTGACATTGACAGTCAGGACGACCGATAAGAAACGACATTGGAGTACGTGACATTGATATCTAGGACGATCATAAAATTGACCAGTGGGAATCGACCAATAATTCTCTTAGGATATTGGATGAATATCCTAACAGATTGTAATTGTTTAAGAGAGAGATTGAACTTTTTTGATCAATCTTTGTTAGCACGAAGATCTAAGAGCACTTAGACAAATCTACCGTCTCTTATACACTTGTAAAGCTGGTCAGTATCGCTAATAACTTACAAATAAGTCAAAGAGTCACTTGCTGACCCGGCGAAGCCAGTCGAGAATCAGATCTGATCATTTGGGCTATAGTAGATAGGCGACAGTGCTGGTCATGATGAAAACCCTGAGAAAATTCTTTAGCAAGTAGATCCTGAAAGACTTACATTGCGTCTACGTATACCCAATAAAAGGTAGTCATCTAAGGTTAAACAGATATTAAATGTAACCTTACCTTACTTACTTACGTCTGTTATCTCAACGTAGCATAGGTCGCTGACCAGCATTCTCCAACCTACTCTATCCTGGATCTTCCTCTTGTGACACAGATGGTTGGTTTCTTCAATGTGTGTGCTATCCACTTTCAGCGTTTCTTTCTGATTTATTCCTCCACTGGAATCTAGTTTATTCTTTCACAGTGTGTCTAAGAAGCCTCCATAATGTTGGCCTTAGCACAAATTACACTAATCCAGTAAAAACCTAGAATCACTGGATAGCTGGTTCATCCTATTATGAGATCAGTCAGGGTATCCACGACTCCGTAAACGGGAATACAACTCATTACTTTCGGTCTGCGTGAGAACGCCCAACCTCTAGACCACAGATTGAATTTAGACAGTAATGTCATAGGATGCCGACTCAGAGGTCTAGAGGTTAAGCGTCCTCACGTGAGACCAAAAGTCAAGAGTTGTATTCCCATTTGCGGAGTCATGGATGCACACTGCCACTGACTGGTCTCATGACAGGATAAAATAACCGTCCGGTACTCCGAGGTTTCTAATAGTGATCTAACACTGATTGGTTCATGGAGTCAATAAATCATTCAGTCGTTTCTCTATAGTAACTTAAAGGTGATCAGAAAATCAGAGTAAGTACTTGCATTTTCAGTAATGTGTCAAATGAAATCAGTCTCATAGTCAGAGATGTTATCGCCTAGCTATCTGAGCCGTGACTGAGCTCTTGTAGGACTGAAATGTATTTAAAATCGATCGATCAGTGGGTAGTGACAAATGTCATGTGTGTCAGTTCCTTTTGAGTTCTCATCGAATTCTATCGACTAAGCTGTAATGCAGCCACTAATCTGTGGAGTATCAGTTGCCTCAAGATTATAGGTACACCATTTTGACGAGTGCTAATTAGCATGAAATCTAGGTTAAGATAGAATTTTTCTGTCGACCACTTCGGACTTCACTCTTATATCTCAACACAGTGCATGTAATGTCTAGTTACCTAGATTAGTGACCACACTGTAACGCGATCGATAGATTTCATCCAACGTCGGTCACTATACAGTGATCGATCAATTGTGAATGTAGTTCATCACGAGTAGTGCGCATTCACGACTGCCAATGAGCCAGTCCCATATTAGGACGAGAAGGTAGTTCATTGCTTGCAGGTTTCTTATAATGATTTAAAAGTGACTGATTCATCATTTCGATAGAATTCATCGATATCCACAACTGTACTATGAGAATTGGACTTTGATTTTTAAAAGTTTAATTTTTGACCTCCTCTCATCCACTCACTCACCCACACACATACACACAAACACTTAAATTTCACCACATATTTCCAGTTACAAATTGTTATTTCAGTGAATCAATATCTATTGATCCAACAATTTCTAGATTATCTGCATCCTTAAAACAAGACTGATAGTTAGTGTTGTTTATGACGAGTTAGGTTTTTAGAGGGTGAGGTCACCTACCACACATGCCCAATCTTCTTCCTTTATCAGGGCTTGGGACAAGCAGTAACCCGCAGAGGACCTCTAGGCAGAGTTAGAGATAAAAGGGATATTAGGGGGTGTAAGAAGGATTTGATTTTGACCAATTCGGTCTCGAGTGCTGTTAAGGGTATGAAGGCGGTTGTCACTTCCCGGCTGCCCACACCGTGGAGGAACCTGAAAAGGAAGGTAGATTAGTGCTGGTCTTAGAGACCTGGGTGCGTGACCACAGAGTCCAAGGGATAACTGCTTGAGGCCGGTCACGCACAAACTTTTTATGAGAAGTTTTTTGAGTTTTAGCTCCGCTCTTGAAAGCCCTTGGTGGGCACCCTTACCAACGGAGACGGAAATCCGTGAGGTAAGGTGAGGTGTGACATTTTTAGGGCTGACCTTTTCTAACCCTTCCTTCCTTGTGAGAAGGCAGCATCGTTGCAGATGCTGGTTGTCCGATAGAAACACCTTACTGCTGCCACACCCCTCCACAGTCAGTCAGCAGTACGACTTCGCCCTCAGACCTTGAATAGCTGCTTTTAGTCTCATCGTTCTCCAATCGACCTGCCTGCTGTCATGGTAGAACCTTCAGAAACATATGTTCTAGCCAATATATCTCGGTTGGGTCATCACAATAGGCAAGCCCGACCTCCACGTCAAGCTAGCAGCTACGGTCAGGCCAGGCAGAGGAGTTAAGATTGATTGATGTTATCAAATAAGTGATTGTACTTCTTTATTCTATATATTGATTATTATTTCAAAAAGGAACTGGACTCATGCGAATTCTTCTCGATGTTCATCCATTAATAAGATGTGGTCCAGAACCAGTGGTTACAACATCTATTTTACGATTTAAAAAATTCTATGAACATATGCCAAAACAATTGTATGCGGCAGGAATTTATCCGCATGTATATAATCGTGCAATAGCTGCATTTTTTAATGAAATTCTTATTAATATGGGTCCACCAGCCAAACGGTTATGTCATAAACAACCATTTTCATTTTATTATTTAAATTATTTAAATGAAATATTTCCAAATGCAAAATTTATTCATATGATACGTGATGGACGTGCTGTGATTGCTTCATCGATTAAGTAAGTTAGCTGTTGTTGTTGCTGTTTTTTTTTACTTTTTCCGAATTCAATTCAATTGTTGGCGCATTAGTTTACTGTTAACGTTCATCACTAGGTAGGAGGTACGCTTGAGAAGCTATTACGTACGAGTTCACCTTAATCTGTTGCTATCGTCTTGCGGAGCCCAACCAGGTAGCCTACATCTACCAATATGTCTCAGTCCATTGGTCAGTGACTTCATGGATTTCCGCCATGTTTCGATTTGTCCGTCCCTAGGTTTCTTCCAACCTACTCCTACACCACAAAACATATCTCGACGAGGTAGTCGGTGGTCGGGTAGACAGACAGACAGACAGATACAACGTAGAACTTCGTACGTACGTACATCAGTTCAGGTTGCCATGCCCCATCAGCACACAGACACAACTGTCAGTTCAAATCGAAGAGTGATAGCAATAATAGAAGTATTAGTAGTAATTAAGAAGATTAGGGAGTGAAGATATGATTCGAAAAGTAGAATTCAGTAAGAAAAATTTAGAAGAAGAAAGGTAGAGATTATGAGGAATGCAGAAGCTCATGAACCATTGTCCAGACAGGCTAACTTAAATCCCAAACTGCAAAACAGAAGTCTTTGTAAGCGTAGAAAGTATATTCTAAAAACACCCAGCAATCACAATACAATCAAGCATACAACTCTCGTTTATTTATAAATCATCGAAACGTCCTTGGAACAGTTAAGAAAATAGCACACTAAAATCCGCAGCAGCCAATCACAGCCATGGATTTTCCTGGTGGGAAATGAAATCTCAAGGTTACCTGATAAGCCCATGCTGGCAAACGTGAACTCCAAAATTAAGGCATTTATCAATCGAGTTCTGAGGGATCTAACATCCCTAACACTTAAGTACTTTTGCCTGTTAACCCCAATGGAGCATAGGCTGCTGACTAGCATTCTTTAAGCTACTTCATCCTGAGCCTTCCTTTATGGTTCTGTTCTACTGTTGTTCATCCTTCTTGTGTCTCTGTCCATTTCTCAACGTAATGTGTTCCTTGGCCTTCCTCTTTTCCTTTTACCTTGAGGTTTCCAGGTGAGGGCTTGTCTTGTGACGCATTTGGGTGCTTTCAGCAATGTGTGTTTCCTATGCACTTCCACCGCTTCTTCCTGATCTCCTCCTCCTTTGGAATCTGGTTTATTCTTTCCTACAGTAGGTTGTTGCTGAACAACGGATCTTCAGTATTTTGTGTAGACAACTGCTAATGAATACGTTTATCTTCCGGATGATGGCTTTGGTAATTCTTCAAGTTTCCGCTCCATACAGTCAGTCAGTCAGATGCAACGTAGAACTTTGTACATAAGTACATCAGTTCATGTTGCCATACCACATCAGCACAGAGAAGTAATCGTCAATTCAAATCCAATAGTAGAAGAGGTAGTAAGGGAATTAGAAATAATCGGAGAGGTTAGGATTAGAAGATACTACTCAAGAAGTATGATTCAGTGAGAAAAGTTTAGAGAGTCGAAACTAGAGGTGTTGAAGAATCCAGAAGATTAGCATTTGAGAGAACACAGAGAATAAATGCACTGACGCCATTGCGAACGATTTTGAGCCATGTCATTCAAGGTCTCTAACCATCGATTATTATCATCTCGCGGACCCCAACCAGGTAGTCGACAATTACCGACATGGCTCAGTCCACTTGTCAGTGACTTCATGGATTTCTGTCATGTTTTGGTTTGGCCGCCCCTAACTTTCTTCCAACCTATTCCCACACTACAAAACAAGGCTCGACGAGGCAGCCGGTGGTTCGGCATACGCAACACATGTCCCAACCACCTCAACTGGTGAAGTTTCATTACTTCATCGATTGATCTGCCATTCTTACCTAGCACCCGATTCCTAATAACAGCGTTGCTCACTCGGCTGTCCCACGATATACGAGCAATGCTTCTTAAACATCTATGATCGAATACTAGTAACCTACGAACATCTTCTACTCTCATTGGCCATGTTTCACAGCCATAAAGTAAGACGGAGCGAACTACTGCGCAGTACACTCGTCCTTTAGTCAGCAAACGGATATCTCGCCTACGCCATAAGTGACGCAGGTTGGCAAAAGCCAATCGAGCCTTCTGTATCCGTGCTGAGATTTCGTCAGTCACCAGGCCATCGGCACTGATGAGACTCCCAAGATAAGTGAATCGGTCTACACGTTCGACTACTTCACTTCCTATCACTAGTTCAGGTGCCGAAGCAACCCAGTCTTGAAGCAACATTTTGCATTTCGAGGGGGAAAACCGCATCCCGAACATGCTTGCATTGTTGCTTAGGGTAGTCAGAAGACTCTGCATTTTGTCAGCGTCTTCACCAAGTAGGACTATGTCATCGGCATATTCTAAGTCAATAAGCGAGCCACCTGGTAAAAGGTCTACTCCTGAAAATTCTGACGAGGATAATGTTATGTCTAGGAGCATGTCTATGATAAAATTAAACAAGAATGGAGAAAGTGGACATCCCTGACGGACACCACTTGATGTAGAGAATTCCGGTGACAGTTCGCCATAAGCCCTCACCCGACCAGTGGTGTTCGAGTAAAGAGCTTGTATAAGGTTAATGTACTTCTAGGGTACACCTTTCAATGACAGACACTGCCACAGAACCTTACGATCAACAGAGTCAAATGCCGCTTTTAGGTCCAGGAAAACAACTATTGTAGGACGCCTAAATGTGTGTCTATGTTCCAGGACCTGTCTGAGTGTGAAGACGTGGTCTATACAGCCACGTCCAGGTCGAAAACCAGACTGGTTTTCTCGAGTCTGCTCTTCACGAGCTTTCGTTAAGCGTCGAAGTATTATTGAGGCCAATATTTTAGATACTATATTAGTTAGACTTATTCCCCTGTGATTGTCACAAGAAGACTTTTGTCCTTTCTTATAGATTGGGACAATCAAGGATTGAGACCAGTCGGATGGGATTACGTCCAGTTCCCAGATTTTACCTAAGATCTCAGTCAATCTAGCTGCTAAAACTGGACCACCATCCCTGAATATCTCAGGGGTCAGTCTATCAGGACCTGCAGCTCGTCCTCGTTTCAGATTTCCTAACGCTTTCTCAACGTCATTAGGACTAGGGGGACTTACGTCGATTTGCCATTCAGGATGACTGGAGATCGTGGGTAACTGAAGAGTGGCTCGTGGCCAGTTGAACTGATCCCTAAAGTGTTCTGCCCATCGATCCAGTCTCCTGGATTGAGAATGGATAATAAGACCATCCTTTTCCGAGATAGTCTCACTCACATTCGGGTTCTTAATACCGGTTTCTTTAATAAGGCGGAAAAGTTGTCTAGTGTTGCCGATCGCCGCTGCCTTTTCCATCGCTTTTGCTTTCGCCACCCACCACTGTTCGCGGTCGTTGCGCAGACTTTTTATAAGTCTGCGCCTAAGCTGACTACGCTCTTCATCATGCTCAGAGTCAGGTGGGATGCGTTTTCGAGCATCCATCAGTTCGGTGGATGCGGCTGAAATCCACGGCTTCATCCTAGCCTCATGGTTTACCTTACTAGCAGATATCACTGCTGTTTCCACAGCCTTTTTGATATCATACCAACCTGCTTCTGGATGGGAATCGCTTGCATGGTTGCTTAACTCTCTTTCTAGTAGCTCCTGAAATATTTTCTTGGTTTGATTATCATTAAGTAAAACCCTAAGAGGCTTTCTTACGGTGTCTTTCCTACGTCCAGTAAGCCTTAAACAGATACGAGCTCGCACTAGAGCATGATCTGAATCCAAAAATGTGCTCCAGAACGAGCGACAGTCTTCTATCGAACCCCTCCATCGGTGGCTGATGGCGATGTGATCTAGTTGAGTGCTCCATACAGTAGAACAGTTTTGAGCCCCAGAGGGGCTCTAGGCGGAGTTGAGTGCGTAATGCAATTGTGCAACACGATTGCACAATTCTTTCAATTAGAGTTAAGAAGATGAGTGTTTCCTTTTTTACACAATTGAAATCATCAGTCACTACATAATTAAATGTTATGTATCTGTTATTTATGTTAGGATATTCATCCGATATCCTAAGAGAATTATTGGTCAATTCCTGTTGGCTAATTCATACAGGTCAATTTTATGGTCGTCCTGACTATCAATGTCACTTCAAATGTTGCTTCCTATTAGTCGTCTTAACTGTCAATGTCATAGACTTCGATGCTGTTTCCTTTTCAACCTAAATGTATAAATACGCATTATCTGTAACGTTTTATGATCCGGACCCAGATCCTTAGTCCGGGATCCTGATTCTCTTCTGGACACGAACCTCATACTTTCTGAATGCTTGTAGAATACATGTTCTACTTCATATCAAGTCTTCTCTTTTTTTTACTAAATATTGGTGTTGGGACACTCGGATTAGAGTAGCCTGTCGTGTCACCGGATCCTCGATCCTCTCTCTAGTTTTTTTTTTGACCAAAGGTAACTCGTAATAAATCAAGCATATCAAAATGACATGTTTACATTCATACGTAACAATTAATATTCATGTTCTGTTCAATTTTCAATAATCATACTAAATCACTGTTATTTATATAGACGTTCAATCAATCCATTGTATGTTTCGGATAAACCATATTTGGCATTTAATTATTGGGAAGGGATTACTAAAAAAATGCATGAAGATTGTTTAAAAATTGGTTCAACACATTGTTTAACTGTACGTTATGAAGATTTAATATTGAATACAGAGAAAGAAACAAAAAAGATTTTCAGTATGTTCAATAATGTAATGTATATATTTAAACATGCACACATACACACACACACATAACTAAACTTGAACAAATCAATGGTTATTATAATCATTATTTAAAGTGTATGTTTTTATTTGTGTAGTAAGTCAGTTGTAACGTAGAACTTCGTATGTATGTACATAAATGCAGGTTGCCATACCACATTATTAGCACAGAGACACAAATGTCAAATCAAATCCCATAGTGATGTAGATAGTAGAGGTATTTATGGTAATGAAGAAGACTAGGGTTCCAAGATATTATTCAAGAAGTATAATTCAGTGAGATAAGGTTAGGAAGACAAAGGTAGAGATGCTGACGAATCCAGAAGATTAGGATTTGAGAGAGCTCTAAGAATGGATGCACTTGCGCCATTGCAAACGATTTTGAGCCATTTCGTTCAAGGTCTATAACCATTGAAGATTTTCGTCTCGCGGACCTCAACTAGGTAGTCAACATCTACCAGCATGACTCAATCCACTTGTCAGTGACTTCATGGATTTCTGCCATGTTTTGGTCTGGCCGCCCCTAACTTTCTTCCAACCTACTCCTACACTACAAAACATAGCTCGTCGAGGCAGTCGGTGGTTAGGCATTCGTAACACATATCTCAACCACCTCAACTGATGAAGTTTCACCACTTCATCTATTGATTTGCCATCCTTACCTATTACTCGTTTCCTAACGATAGCATTGCTCACTCGGTTATCCTACCATATATGAGCAATGCTTCGAAGACATCGATGATCGAATACTAGTAACCTACGAACATCTTCTACTCTTAACGGCCATGTTTCACATCCATATAGGAGAACGTAGCGAAATGCTGCACAGTACACTCGTCCTTTGTTTAGCGAACGGATATCACGCCTGCGCCATAAGTGACGCAGGTTGGAAAAAACCAATCGAGCCTTCTATATCCGTGCTGAGATTTCGTCAGTCACCAGGCTATCAGCACTGGTGAGACTACCCAGATAAGTGAAGTGATCAACACGCTCGAATACTTCACTCCCTATCACTAGTTCAGGTGCCGATGCAACCCAATCTTGAAGCAACATTTTGCATTTGTGTAGTAAATTGATACTTGAAACATGAAGTAATTTTACATTTGAAATATTATTCAATCATGGTAAATAAATGAAGATTGAATTTATCCACCGAAAAATAACAACTAATAACCATCAGAATTAACATTACTCATCTCTACAAATCGATATTGTTTTCACACCTAATGATTACTAGTATGATAGGTTTATGGAGACTGTTAAGTTACTTTTCGAAATCATGAATCAATCAATAGTAGACTATCACTATAAGAAGCCTGGAAGCACCGAAAGACGGTCGTTTCGTCCTGGTATCAGACATCCACATCCATGCACATCCACGATGAGTGAGCTTGCGCAAAATCCTTAGATTGATCAAACTTAGATAATAACACCGCAGGATGTAGGCTCCGTAGCCCTAAGATAAGGTGTTTACGACAAAGACTGAAGTTCCTGGGTTAGAATCCTGCGAGTGACATACATATATATGATGACTAGCTTAGAAATGATTTCTTCAGCGTTCTTTTGAGAAGCTTAGATTAATGAAATCAATGGATATCAGGAGTGAAATGATGTCGAAAAAATCTAACTACTGAATATGAATTCAGTAATATAAACGTTTTGTATTGACTAAAGTTTTCAATTTTTATATAATTCAGAGTTTGTGGTGTTACTTTAAGTAAATTATTAGGACTGCATTATTATAAGATTCGAACGGCGTTACCAAGTCTGACAATCTGAAAAGGTAACATGGGTCTATTTGGGTAACAGATGTTTACAAATGATTAATCATTGAGTAGTGACCAAAGTCATGTTTGTCTAGTTAGTTAGCACTGAAAAAATTCAACCGATCAGTTTGCAATGCACTCATTATTATTAGCATTTTGACACTACGTACACTCTGTTGAGATTTTAAATGTCTATAGATGGTTAGCAAGTTACTCTGAGACTGTGTTTTATGTAAGGTGACACTTGTCAACAAAAGATACTTGTAATTTTGAGGGAATTGATGCTGTTTGTTTTGAATGATAGAGCCAAGGAAATGACTATAAAGTCATTAATTCATTCATGATACATTCAATTTACTGTCCATTTACACTAATCAACACAGTATTATTATTAATATATAATAATCTAGTTCAGTTCTTCAACTTGAGGTGGGGGAAGGATTTGATTGAGTGCAAGTTGGTCTTCCGTGCTATTACAGGTATGAAGGTGGACGTCCATTCCCGACTGCCTTCAATTTGAAAGCGTATTCCTTGAAGAACCTGAAAAGGAAATCGTATTAGCGTTGATCGTGGCGACCAGGTAGCGTGACCGCAGAGCCTAAGGGACAAATGCTTGAGGCCTGTCACGCACGGCCTTAATGTGTTAGCTACGCTCTTCAAAATGCCTTACTGCTAGAGACTGGAATCCGTGATGTGAGGTGAGATGTGACATTTTAGGGTCGACCTTTTCTAAAAACTTCCTTTTGTTATGAGCAGACAGCATCGCTGCGTATGCTGGTTTTCCAAGAGGAACACCTTACCGCTGTCACACCCCTCTACAGTCATCAGTACGACTTCGCCCTCAGACCTCAAGTTACTGTTCTTAGTCTTACCTGTATGGCATGGTAGGAAATATAGGAATATGCTTTCCTTCCATTATAGCTCTGTTGAGTCATCATGATAAGCAAACCCAACCATTACATCAAGGTAGCAGCTACATTTGCGACTTCTACAACTGAATTAACAATACGTTTGAAAAGATTCAATCGTACATAAATTCCCACTCAATCATTTTTTTATGCCATTTCTATTTTTCTTTGTTTCTCTATCTAGAATTTCTTGATTTACCTTGGGATCCAATAATTTTAAAACATGAAACTGTGATTAACAAGATTTCTAATTTAAGTCCGTAAGTGAATAGTTGTTTTTCAGTAAGATATTACCCGCATTATAGTATTATGAAGATCGTTTTTTTCACCTTGGAATCATGAATAAATCATTGTTAGACCACCAATAGAAACCTAGAAGACGTGACCAGTGGAGTTCAGCTGCGTCGAAGGTGTAGGCAGTAACTAACGAAGACAAATGGGTAAGGTTGAGCAAAATCCTTAGATTACTCAGTTATACATTAATACCATTGGGTTCCGGTCCAGTGGTCTAGGAGTTAAACGTTCGCTGGCACAAGATCGCAGGTCTTGGGTTTGAGTCCTGCAAGAAGCAGGAGTCGTGGATGTACACAGCTGATGAGTCCTATGCCAGGACCAAACTTACTTACTTACGCCTGTTATCCCCCGATGGAGCATAGGCCGCTCACCAGTTTCCTCCAACCAACTCTGTCCTGTGCTTCCCTTTCCAGTTCTGTCCAATGTTTGTTCATTTCTCTCATATCTTTCTCTATTTTACGGCGTAATGTGTTCCTTGGCCTTCCTCTTTCCCTTTTGCCTTGAGGGTTCCATGTGAGGGCTTGTCTCGTGACGCAGTTGGGTGCTTTTCGTAGTGTGTGTCCTATCCACTTCCACCGCTTCTTCCTGATTTCCTCCTCGACTGAAGGAATCTGGTTTGTTCTCTCCCACAGTACATTGTTGCTGATGGTGTCATGCCAGGACGAAAAGATAGTCTTTAATTGCTTCCAGGTTTCTAATGGTAGTCTGAGAATGATTTCGAGGTGAATAATAACTGCAACTAGATTGTATAACCATGTTCAAAATCATTTATCCATAAACAGAGTACAGTAATATATGAAAAAGTCAAGACCAGATGTAGTTTCTTAACAAAATATATGAACATAACCTTCAGATTCTTCTGGTTAGCGTTCTTTTAGTGAATTCGTTTTCTACGGGATGAGGTCGCCAACCCCCCACACGCCCAACCCTCCTCCTTTATCCGGGCTTTGGACTGGCAGTAGCCCCAGAGGTGCTCCAGGCGGAGTTAACCTTCAGATAGATCTTTGTAATACAAGCAAATTATTGACTATCCTTTTTCAGATGTCTTTTGGTTTGTGAAATACTTTGATAGTGTTACGCATTTCAATCTCTTGATACTCTAGTCTTCAGTAGTATATCCTGAATGACGCTATGCTGCATACTACTTATACGCCACCTTGTGAGTAGCATCTACCACAGTAGTATATTAACCTTGATTCATACCAAGTTATCTGCTTTACAAAACACTGTGTCAACTATATTATATAATACTTTAATTGCAGTTCAACTCAACAAAAAATTCACAAGTTACATATTTATAAAGTCTAGGATAGGCCATTTTTGTCATGTGGTTAGTGACATTTGTCTCACACTCGATATAACTGAACCCCATCAGTTCAGCCAGTCAGATTGAATTCAGAAGTGTACACTAAAAGTTTAGCACACTCAGTCCCCGTAAAGAGACCATCGATGCAGACTATCAAGAATGACCATTCTAGGATGAGTTGGCTGTTCAATAATTCATGACTTCTTATGATCTTCTAACCATAAATATTTTAGTGATTATGTTACAGTTATTTAACATCAGCTGATTGTTAACTCAACATAAGAATTTAAAATATTTGTGGCGGATACTACTCACAACGTGGATTTGAAGTAGTATGCAGTGAAGTGACTATCAGTAGTCATCAACGGAGAGAAGAGCACCTGGAGGTTGAAGTGCATGGTATGGTCAAAGTATTTAGAAGAACAGAAGACATTTGATAGCGGAAAGTCAATCATAGTTAATCAAGCAGTTCATCCAATTATTCTCTTTGTAGTAATGACAGGAAAAAAATATTAAAAAACCGTCCTTAAAACTAAACGATAGTGGAAACTTTCTTATACTCGAACACTTGTGAAAGTCAATGAGACGTTATTGATTTTCATTAAAGTTACATAAATTTCCGAAATTTCATTTTCTTTTCTTGAAATCATGGATCGATCAATGTTAAACCACAATTAGAAACCTGGAATTATTGGACAGCTATTTCGTCCTAGAATGGGACTCATCAGAAGTGCGCATTTGCGACTTCGGGTCACCGGAGTCGAACCAATGACCCTCGATGTTGCGCACGAACACATAAAATTATAGACCGTTGAGCCGAAGTTCAACGGTGTTCATGTCTAAATTCAGTCAATCTAAAGTGTCGCACAACCTCACTAATTGTCTTCTGTAGGTAATCACCTACATCCGACATGGTTGTACTCTACTGATCACAGCTTCTCATTGGTACATCAAGGATTTACTAATGAGTAGGGACTAACCTACCGAAGACAATGGATGAGGTTTCGCAACACCTTGGATTGAATAAAGTTAGACATTAACATCGTTGGATGCCGGCCAAATCAGTGGTCTAGAGGTTAAGCGTTCGTTGGTGAGACCGAATGTCCTGGGTCCGACTCCCACGAGTGGAAGTCATGGATGCACAGTCAGTCAGTCAGTTGCAACGTAGAACTTCGTACGTATGTAAATAAGTTCAGGTCGTCATATCACATTAGCACACAGACGCAAATGTCAAATCAAATCCCATAGTGATAAAGATAGTAGAGGTATTAATGATAATGAAGAAGACTAGGGTTTGAAGATATTATTCAAGAAGTATAATTTAGTGAGATAAGGTTAGAAAGACAAAAGTAGAGGTACTAACGAATCCAGAAGATTAGGATTTGAGAGCCTACATCTACCAACATGACTCAGTCCACTTGTCAGTGATTTCATGGATTTCTGTCATGTTTTGGTCTAGACGCCCCTAGCTTTCTTCCAACCTACTCCTACACTACAAAATATAGCTCGTCGAGGCAGTCGGTGGTTAGGCATTCGTAACACGTGTCCCAACCACCTCAACTGATGAAGTTCCAATGCTTCATCTATTGATCTGCCATCCTTACCTAGTACTCGTTTCCTAACGACAACATTGCTTACTCGGTTGTCCCAGGATATACGTGCAATGCTTCTTAAACATCTATGATCGAATACTAGTAACCTACTCTTAACAGCCATGTATCGCATTCAAGTAGGAGAACGGAGCGAACTGCTGCGCAATACACCCGTCCTTTGGTTAGCGAACGGATATCTAGCCTATGCCATAAACGGCGTAAATCGGCAAAAGCAAATCGAGCATTCTGTATCAGCGCTGATGAGACTCCCCACATAAGTGAAGTGATCAACACGCTCGACTACTTCACTACCTATCACTATCATGGATGCACCCTTCCGAGGAGACCCATCATAGAACGAAACGACCGTGTCCAGTGCTCCCAGGTTTCTAATGATTGTCTAACACCGATCAGTTCATGATTTCAATGAAGCTCAACAATCTAAACAACCCCATAATGAAAACTTTCATTTTTGTCTGTTGTATTTCTTTCTTTTTAAATCATATTAAATGTACAATTTTCTCAACGCGAACACCAACAACTCGAACAACCACCACCCAATCAGATATGAAGCAAGTTCAAAACAAGTGATCAATAAAATTTATCAAAATTCACTTTTATCATGGACAACGAATGATTCTATACTACCAAGAGAATTGATTGAAAAAATACATTTACAAAGTGAATTATTGAAACGGCTGGGTTATACACAACTTGGTTTCCCACCAAATTATTCTCTGTTAAAACCACTTTCTTAATTCAATTTTATTTTTTTAAAAATAACAAAAAAGTGTTATATATATTCAAGCAATAAATAATCTTGAATATATTGTTAAGATGATAGAGAGGGAATTGTGTAGCTTATTTGAGTGAGGTTGAAATTAGGGTTAGGCATCGGGGTTAACCTACTTTATTTATGAATTTCAAGTATACTATGAAATGATAAATCTCCCGTTTCAATTTCTGTATCCTGCTGGGACGACCGAGTAAGCAATGCTATCGTTAGGAAACGAGTTCTAGGTAAGGATGGCAAATCAGTAGGTGAAGGATTGAAACTTCATTAGTTGAGGTGTTTGGGACATCTGTTTAT